CTCAGCCACGCAGACGCTCTGGTAAGAGTGGCTGGTCCAGCCGCTCTGCCAGAGTGGCTGGTCCAGCCGCTCTGCCAGAGTGGCTGAGTGGCTGAGTGGCTGCTTCGATTTCGCAAGCCGTGTTGCACATCCACTCTTATATTTGCTTGCAAAGATCAAAATTAAAATGGCTGTCTACTTTCTTTTGGACATACTTTTCAATGTTCGTTGGAATAATTCTCTTAAGACATGATCCAAAAGCAGCAGTGCCATTACAAAGCATAGAGTGGACTAAGGCATTTAGCCCCGCAGGCAATTCTAAGATGGTAAAGCCAAAAAGGAACCTAACATTTGGGGATGACTTATTATAAACCTAATTATGAAGATTTTGGGTGTTGCCATATTAAATTGTATGCTTTTCATTACTTTTCCGTATGTGCCAATATCTGTCCCATTGATACCATTCCGCGCGTGTTTCTCCTTTTTTTCCCCTTTTCTCTACACCCATTGGATTCTCCACCTCTTGGATTTCTCGACACTGTACGCTTTGCCTCACCGCTTCACGACATTTTCTTGCCCTCTCCCCCTCTCCAGCTACAAAGAAAAAACAGGCGGAAAGGGGGTGAGGCTTCCCGAAAATAAAGAAAATCAAAAAAATAGATCTTTATTGTCATTCTTTTCTTTATTTACTTTTCCAGGTGTCCAACAGGATGAAAATTATAGAAACTAAAGATTTATTTTCTTTATTTTCTTTATTTTCTTTATTTTCTTTATTTTCTTTATTTTCTTTTTGGGGCTCCAGAAAAATAAAGAAAATGAATATGTTTTTTCTTTATTTTCTTTATTTTCTTTTTAAGGCTCCAGGAAAATAAAGAAAATAAAGAAAATAAATCTTTATTTTCTTTATTTTCTTTTTGAGGCCTCAGGAAAATAAAGAAAATAAAGAAACAAAATCTTTATTTTCTATAGATTCCATCCTGCTGGACACCTGGCAAAGTAAATAAAGAAAATCAAAAAAATAGAGAAAATAAAGAAAATAAAGATTTATTTTCTTTGTTTTCTATATTTTCTTTTTAAGGCTCCAGGAAAATACAGAAAATAAAGAAAATAAATCTTTATTTTCTATAGATTCCATCCTGCTGGACACCTGCAAAAGTAAATAAAGAAAAAAAATAAAGAAAATAAAGAAAATAAATCTTGATTTTCTTTATTTTCTTTTTGAGGCTCCAGGAAAATAAAGAAAATAAAGAAACATATCTTTATTTTCTATAGATTCCATCCTGCTGGACACCTGGAAAAGTAAATAAAGAAAATAAAGAAAATAAAGAAAATAAAGAAAATAAATCTTTATTTTCTTTATTTTCTTTATTTTTTTTGAGGCTCCAGGAAAATAAAGAAAATAAAGAAAAAAAATCTTTATTTTCTTTATTTTCTTTATGTTCTTTATTTTCTTTTTGAGGCTTCTGGAAAATAAAGAAAATATATCTTTATTTTCTATAGATTCCATCCTGCTGGACACCTGGAAAAGTAAATAAAGAAAATAAAGAAAATAAAGAACATAAATCTTTATTTTCTTTATTTTCTTTATATTCTTTGTTGAGGCTTCAGGAAAATAAAGAAAATAAAGAAAATAAATCCTTATTTTCTATAGATTCCATCCTGCTGGACACCTGGAAAAGTAAATAAAGAAAATAAAGAAAATAAAGAAAATAAATCTTTATTTTCTTTATTTTCTTTATTTTCTTTTTGATGCTCCAGGAAAATAAAGAAAATAAAGAAAATAAATCTTTATTTTCTATAGATTCCATCCTGCTGGACACCTGGAAAAGAAAATAAAGAAAATAAAGAAAAAAAAATATTTTCTTTATTTTCTTTATTTTCTTTATGTTCTTTATTTTCTTTATTTTCTTTATTTTCTTTATTTTCTTTATTTTCTTTATTTTCTTTGTGAGGCTTCAGGAAAATACAGAAAATAAAGAAAATAAATCTTTATTTTCTATAGATTCCATCCTGCTGGACACCTGGAAAAGTAAATAAAGAAAATAAAGAAAATAAATCTTTATTTTCTTTATTTTCTTTTTGAGGCTCCAGGAAAATAAAGAAAATAAAGAAAATAAATCTTTATTTTCTATAGGTTCCATCCAGCTGGACACCTGGAAAAGTAAATAAAGAAAATAAAGAAAATAAATCTTTATTTTCTTTATTTTCTTTTTGAGGCTCCAGGAAAATAAAGAAAATAAAGAAAATAAATCTTTATTTTCTTTATTTACTTTTCCAGGTGTCCAGCAGGATGGAATCTATAGAAAATAAAGATTTATTGTCTTTATTTTCTTTATTTTCTTTTTGAGGCTCCAGGAAAATAAAGAAAATAAAGAAAATAAATCTTTATTTTCTTTATTTTCTTTATTTTCTTTTTGAGGCTTCAGGAAAATAAAGAAAATAAAGAAAATAAATCCTTATTTTCTATAGATTCCATCGTGCTGGACACCTGGAAAAGTAAATAAAGAAAATAAAGAAAATAAAGAAAATAAAGAAAATAAAGAAAATAAAGATTTAATTTCTTTATTTTCTTTATTTTCTTTTTGAGGCTCCAGGAAAACAAAGAAAATAAAGAAAATAAATCTTTATTTTCTTTATTTTCTTTATTTTCTTTTTGAGGCTTCAGGAAAATAAAGAAAATAAAGAAAATAAATCTTTATTTTCTTTATTTTCTTTATTTACTTTTCCAGGTGTCCAGAAGGATGGAATCTATAGAAAATAAAGATTTATTTTCTTTATTTTCTTTATTTTCTTTTTAAGGCTCCAGGAAAATAAAGAAAATAAAGAAAATAAATCTTTATTTTCTTTATTTTCTTTTTGAGGCTCCAGGAAAATAAAGAAAATAAAGGAAATAAATCTTTATTTTCTATAGATTCCATCGTGCTGGACACCTGGAAAAGTAAATAAAGAAAATGAAGAAAATAAAGAAAATAAAGATTTAATTTCTTTATTTTCTTTATTTTCTTTTTGAGACTCCAGGAAAATAAAGAAAATTAAGAAAATAAATCTTTATTTTCTTTATTTTCTTTATTTTCTTTTTGAGGCTCCAGGAAAATAAAGAAAATAAAGAAAATATATCTTTATTTTCTTTATTTTCTTTATTTTCTTTTTGAGGCTTCAGGAAAATAAAGAAAATAAAGAAAATAAATCTTTATTTTCTTTATTTTCTTTATTTACTTTTGAGGCTCCAGGAAAATAAAGAAAATAAAGGAAATAAATCTTTATTTTCTATAGATTCCATCGTGCTGGACACCTGGAAAGTAAATAAAGAAAATAAAGAAAATAAAGAAAATAAAGATTTAATTTCTCTATTTTCTTTATTTTCTTTTTGAGGCTCCAGGAAAATAAAGAAAATAAAGAGTTTATTTTCTTTATTTTCTTTATTTTCTTTTTGAGGCTTCAGGAAAATTAAGAAAATAAAGAAAATAAATCTTTATTTTCTTTATTTTCTTTATTTACTTTTCCAGGTGTCCAGAAGGATGGAATCTATAGAAAATAAAGATTTATGTTCTTTATTTTCTTTATTTTCTTTTTGAGGCTTCAGGAAAATAAAGAAAACAAAGAAAATAAATCTTTTTTTTCTTTCTTTTCTTTATTTTCTTTTTGAGGCTCCAGGAAAATAAAGAAAATAAAGGAAATAAATCTTTATTTTCTATAGATTCCATCGTGCTGGACAACTGGAAAAGTAAATAAAGAAAATAAAGAAAATAAAGAAAATAAAGAAAATAAAGATTTAATTTCTTTATTTTCTTTATTTTCTTTTTGAGACTCCAGGAAAATAAAGAAAATAAAGAAAATAAATCTTTATTTTCTTTATTTTCTTTTTGAGGCTTCAGGAAAATAAAGAAAATGAAGAAAATAAATCTTTATTTTCTTTATTTTCTTTTTGAGGCTCCAGGAAAATAAAGAAAATAAAGGAAATAAATCTTTATTTTCTATAGATTCCATCGTGCTGGACACCTGGAAAAGTAAATAAAGAAAATAAAGAAAATAAAGAAAAAAAAGAAAATAAATCTTTATTTTCTTTATTTTCTTTATTTTCTTTTTGAGGTTTCAGGAAAATAAAGAAAATAAATCTGTATTTTCTTTATTTTCTTTATTTACTTTTGCAGGTGTCCAGAAGGATGGAATCTATAGAAAATAAAGATTTACTTCTTTATTTTCTTTATTTTCTTTATTTTCTTTTTAAGGCTCCAGGAAAATAAAGAAAATAAAGAAAATAAATCTTTATTTTCTTTTTGAGGCTCCAGGAAAATAAAGAAAATAAAGAAAATAAATCTTTATTTTCTTTATTTTCTTTATTTTCTTTTTGAGGCTCCAGGAAAATAAAGAAAATAAAGAAAATAAATCTTTATTTTCTTTATTTTCTTTATTTTCTTTTTGAGGCTTCAGGAAAATAAAGAAAATGAAGAAAATAAATCTTTATTTTCTTTATTTTCTTTATTTTCTTTTTGAGGCTCCAGGAAAATAAAGACAATAAAGAAAATAAATCTTTATTTTCTATAGATTCCATCGTGCTGGACACCTGGAAAAGTAAATAAAGAAAATAAAGAAAATAAAGATTTAATTTCTTTATTTTCTTTATTTTCTTTTTGAGGCTCCAGGAAAATAAAGAAAATAAAGAAAATAAATCTTTATTTTCTTTATTTTCTTTATTTTTTTTATTTTCTTTATTTTCTTTTTGAGGCTTCAGGAAAATAAAGAAAATAAAGAAAATAAATCTTTATTTTCTTTATTTTCTTGTACTTTAAAATAATGAAGATTAGTAAAGGCGTCAAATAGTACAGAAAGGTCTCTCTAACATATATATATGCACATACACATATAATTTGTATATATATAATATATATATAATATTATATATATATCATGCACATACACATATAATTTGTATATATATACATATACACATATTTCCATATGTATACCTCGAGGGCATCAATGGGGCTGCGTTGTTGGCTGTGAGATTTTCCAACCCAGCGTCCCGCCAGCCATCGTGACTCCAGCGCCCTGTTGGACACTCAGTGCAACTGGAAGATTTTGCCGTGCTCCAGGTGCCAGCTGGACATTCCATACCTGGGCCATCAGCGGAGGAGAGGAATGGGAGAATATTCTGATGGAAACCCACCAAGATGTGACCAAAGCAAATCCCAAGGGGTGACAAACTCCAAAGACATGCCTATGGTTATGGCTCAAAACCCTGGTACGCAGATGGTACCCTAAGTCATAGGTGGTGAATGGATGCTTATTCCCCCAGTCATATGGTACCCTCTGGTAAACTAACGTAGCTATAGAAAATCACCATTATTAATGGGTAAATCCACTATAAATGGCCATTTTCAATAGCTACGTTAAATTACCAGAGGGTAATTTCATAGGTTTTGACCCATCTCAAAAAAAAATGCCAAGGAGCAAGATCCGTCTGGGCTTGGTGCATACCTTCCCTGACGACAGCTATGGCAACGGCTGGAATTGGCAGCGCTGACCTGTCGTCGTGGAGATGGTCCACTTCGGAGCTGTCTGCTTCTGTTTGGGGTGAAAGTCATGAAAGATCATGCAAGTATATGAGTCACATTCAAAAAATGTTGGGGCCTGGGGCCTAGGGCCTAGGAAAAACAACGGCACAAGTTTGTATGAGTGGAATCACAAATAACGTGTCTGATTTCTTAGCAATTCTGGGTTTGGAATCTTCCGAATTGATTCACATCGTCGTTTGTAACACTCCGTGGCCCCCCATTGTTTGAACGTCTGAAACTGCGTCGGGAGCCTTTCCCTGTGGGCATTGCGTGCAGCTCCCCGCTTGGGCTTTGCTCTTGGTGCCGGAGGGACATATGCTGCACTGCCGTGATTCAACCTCAGCACATGGAAAGCAACTCTCAAACGAGGCAAAATAAAAGTCTTGATCCAGGAAATTCAGGAGGCTATCCAAATGACGAGCCTGGTTCATTCTTCTTTATCTTGAATAATCCCAATATGTTTAATATTCTCTGATCATCACATGCCTCAAGCCATTCTCCAGGCACCAAAACACGTCAAAACGGTCCACTAAGACACCAGAAAATCATTAAAGTTCGCCGATATTCGCCAAGCAGCTACACTGAAACTTCCTGGAGGACAAACATGACATGCACCTGACCCTTCTTCGCTGAACTGTCCAGCAGGGCCTCGGAAGCATCTTACATCTGTTTAGTCCAAGGTAGCGGTTTCCAGCGGTTTCCATGTTCCAAAATGTTCCAAAGCATTGCTCGGTAGTCATTTCTTTGAACCAAGCAGGTCTAGATATGTCTAGATACTAAAGCCATCTAAAGCCCTTTTTGTTTGGAAAGATTCCAGGAATGAAGTGAATGAAGTCTCGCTTTTCACAACTTGACAATACAACATCGCGCAACTGCTTAGGCTGGAGCAAACTTCGCAAGCAGATGAAGTATCTCTGCTGAACCTGGAGCTTGATCTGCATCAGATGGTTGCGGCAACAGTCCGCAAAACGTGAGCCGTGCTCACAGGTGCAGACCATTCTAAACAGTGCGCAATGGCTCTCTTAGCAAATGTAGTTTGGCATCACATAGATGCAAAAAACATTCTGAAAAAAATGGACTGGAAATAGCCGAGTCATGGTTCTGAAGGAACATGAACTGCTGGTACGGAGACCCTCATTCGTCACCTAAACGTGGATAAATCATACATAATTATACAATGTATATAAACAAGAGTGACCATTAAGCTGCCTAAAGTTTGCATGCAGTGCATGTATTGCAAAAGGTGCATTGCAAGTTGCAAGTCTAGACACGCTAAAGCCCAAGAGTGCCATCGTTGAAGAGTCCAGTGCCATTGGGTGCTGCCAAGCAACCGCCCTGGAGGACATTCTTCGCACTCGATTGCCGCCTGTCCACTTATAGTTCCTGGAGGGCAACTGGAACAACCAGTCGACGTGTTGCCCCGAAAGCGTCCAGGTTGACAATCAATGCACATAGAGGATCCCACGGTGCTCCACTGACCATCTTCGCAGTCAGAACATGTATCATTTGGCTGCTCCGAGAACGTTCCCTCTGGGCCATCCGTGCAGAAGGCTGAGGCAGGTGGACTGTATTGACCACTTTGGCAAGGAATACAGGAGGTTGCTTCAACTCCACTGAACGTGCCATGCGGACATTCTTCACAGTTGGAGGCTGGGTCTGTGATGTACCTTCCCGGAAGGCAGGACCTACACGCGGTGGCCGCAATTCCACTGAATCGACCAGCTGGACAGCGCTCGCATGTCTGATCAGGGCTTAGGATGAATGTCCCAGATGGACATTCGGTGCAATTTTCCTCTGCGACCCCACTGAACGTTCCAGCAGGGCAAGTTGCGCACTTCCCTGAGCTGATGCCACTGATAGTACCAGCTGGGCAGGGTGCACAGAGGACTGACCTCTTTAGGCTGTATCTGCCGCTTGGACAATCTATGCACATAGATGATGAGACACCGCTAAATTTCCCTGGAGGGCAGTCAGTGCAGCGGTCGGATGATTCGTTGCTGTATTGGCCAGCTTCACAAATTTCACAAACAACAGCACCTGCATTGGCATATCTGCCAGCAGGACATATTTCACAGGCTTGATCTGGCTGCACCATAATGGTTCCTGCTGGGCAAATCTCACAGGCTCCTGCCGAGGCATTGCTTTGGGTGCCATTGACACAAGGCGAGCAACTGGTAGATGCAAAGCTACTCCAGGTTCCCGCAGGGCAATCCTCGCAGTGGACAGCATCAGTTGTAAACTTGCCAGGGTCACATTGGACACATTCACTGGCACCTGTTGGACTGATGAATCCACTCTGACATGGTATACATTCTGATGACCCTCGAGCGCTTGAGGTGCCCGCCGGGCATATTGTGCAGCTAGGGTGGCTTGGGAGCACCACATATCTTCCAGCATCACACTTTGTACACTTCTCAGCACCGGCGGCACTGCGGGACCCAGAAGGACAAGTTTGACAAGCAGCCGCACCCACCCCACTGTATGAACCAGCAGGGCAGTCTGTGCATGACTCCGCAGCATCGCTGCTGTACTTGCCAGCACTGCAACTTTCGCACACCTCGGAGCCCGCATCGCTGAATGTCCCAGCTTCACAGGAAGTGCAATTGTCAGATCTTCCAGCGCTGAATGTCCCTGCATCACAAATCCCACAAGGCGCTGCAGGATCAACCACAAATCGCCCGGAAGGGCAGGGAATACAGCTCTCCGACACAGCTAGGCTCACATGGCCAAAGAGACAAATCTCGCAGCCTGTTGAAGCCAATGCGCTGAAACGACCACCGGGGCAGTCGTGGCACATGCCGGCCGCATCGGTGACGTAACGTCCGGGAGAGCACTGGATGCATTCCTTTGCACCAGCATCACTGCGAGAGCCAGGCGAGCATGAAGTGCAACTTGTGGCACCTGCACAGGGGCCCCGGCATGGCCCGGCATAGTTTCAGCTCAGGACAGGAATTTCAGGGAAGAAAACCATTTGCAGAATGAACAATGGCAACAATGATATAAACAGGAACAATTGATGAACAACTGCTTGACACCTTCCAGAGCCAGCTATAGCTACCGCAGGGCACCTTGGATGCTGAAAGTCCCAGCTGGGCAAATGCTGCAAGTCTTGTTCTCATCCAAAAACTCGCCAAAAGTGCAGGCTGTGCAACGTTTGGAGCCAGTTTCGCTCCAATAACCAACAGGACAATCGGTGCAGCTGGTTGCCCCAGTGTAGCTGCTGCTGTAGGTGCCAGCAGGGCACTTCAAACATTCTGAAAAGCCAGCGCTGGAGGAAAACAGTCCAGGGGGACACAGAATACAATCCCTGACTCCGGCTGGGCTATATTTTCCAGCTTCGCAATAAGTACAGGCTGCTGATTGTGCCCAGCTATGTCTTCCAGCTGGGCAGGTGGAACATTCAGAAGCAGCAGCCGCACTAAATTCACCAGCGGGGCAAGGGCGACATCCCACTGAAAAAGTCAAATCTTCCGTGGTGTTCACGTAACTCATGTACGTACCGGCTTCACACTGAAAACACGTCTGCGTTTCAGAATTGTAACCATAGCCTTCTGGGCAGTCTCCAGCACTGAGACCAAGCAACCCAACGAAGGACCAAAGTTTCAGGATCATGGCATGGGCTTAGACTCAAGAGCTTGCAGAGATGTGTCATTTATGTGGATCGTTCCTGATGGTGTTCCTACAGTTTGACATAGTTTGACTATGACGACGCTCCTCGTGTAAAAGCAAATGCTTAAATCAGGCATGGAATTGAATTGCAGGGATTTGTACGGAACGTATAGAATAGACGGCTCAATTTGATTTGGTCTTCATGATAACCCCCTTTGGTTGTCAGACTCACCGACTTCATTTGAGGCCTTTGCCCTGAGATGGTCAGCTGATGCTCTATAGAATGGCAGCAAGCACGCAGAATATGACATAATGACAATGTGTACCATGACACTCCAATTCAGAATACTCAGAGGCAGCAGTTTGACATTCGGCAAAGGTGTGCACACGTGGTGCAAAGGTGTGCATGACCCAAAGATGGCAACTCCCGACATGGCGGTCATTTTCAGTCTGTGCGACTGCGATGTTCAACAAGTCCGGTAGCCATCTCGATCTCATCGCTCCGGTGGCCGATCACTTCGGGGTTCACTGGCTCTTCTCTAATGCCTCCAGAGATGCACGTGAGTGAAACAGGAAAATAGCATAAAATAGCATTGATCGATTTGCCAAGATACAAGCAACACCATAGCAGCAATTAAAAGATAGGAAAAAATGAAAAAAAAAAAAAACACGGAAAGAACTCGATGTCGGAAAATATACGCACTTTCTCTGCACTGACCTGGAGTGCCACGTCCTGCAAGAACGCTCCATGCGGCCTCCTGGGCATAGGGCTTCCGGGCTTCATGATTTCATGACAGCGATATCTCTGATCCAGAAACTGCGCAATCCTGGCCTCTGCCTCCTTGATGGTGTCATCTACTGAGATGCACACTTGGACCTGAAGATCGTGAAACAAAGATCAACTGCGTCCAGGGCGGTTCACTTCGCTAAGCCGCTAAGCACTGCACCAGCATTGAGGCTCCCATCACCCTGAAGGTCAGGTAGTCGCAAAAGAAGACCTTTGAGCGCAAGTCACATCAACCAAGACCTGCAAGACCTGCAAGACCTGCAAGACCTGCAAGACCTTCAAGACCTGCAGAGGCAGAAGAAACTGAGAAGCTGACAATGCCAAGGAAGCCAGAAATCATGCTGCTCACATCCAGGTCGTAGGGTCTGAAGAGGAAATGATGCCCCCAGCTGACTCCAAATACCATCTGGTAGCCACCCATCGCAAAGACATAGGCAGAAACCAATGGACATTTGTTGTCCGCGTCCCTGCAGGATTTCTCTTGGGCAGAGGCAATTCAAACACAATGCCACTGATTAGACATTGAACAAACTGTTGCAGCCAGCCTGTAGCAGTAGATATACCTCAAACATATCCAGGTGTCAGTTGCATGTCCATCTCTCAACAAAACATGTATAGTTATATACCTTTCATATGTTCCTGTCTATGCTGGCACGTTGCTGAGGCAGCATTGAGATACTTTCCAAATATGTGGAGAAAATCCAGAGGATCTCCATGAACAGGCCATGGTCTTCCAGTGAATAGACTCCAAAAACCAGAGTCATAACTATGATCATGAAAAGCGCCTTGGCCAACCGAGCAAACGGTGCAAACTGACAATGGCTCACATGGCAGAGTCAACAAGGCAATCGTTTTCCCCATGTCCTGCTGCCTCGGAACTGCTGAAAGGGACACAGTATCCTTCTCATCAATGCCTCGGCTGATGCTTCAAACTCGGCCAGTCAGGGAAATCACACGAAAACTCATGTGGGATTGTCCAGAAATGAAGGATTTACCATCAATTTGCGGCTATTTCAATGGGGAACAATGGATGAAAATGGTCGTAAACCGGCGCATTTGGGGTGTGCACCCCATTTGCAAACAGCCCAAGCTCTTTTTAGCTGAGGGCCCCCACTGGCACCGAAAATGTAAAGCAGCAGCACAATTTTCAGAGTGGCGCTCCAAAGAAGCACCTCACAAAATGTGTTTGAAACCGCGGCGGAACATCCATGAAGACAAGCCAGGCCTTGTATATGACAAGGTAGATAGATTGATCACCTTAGCAATTCCATCTTGAGATTGTGGTGAATGATACACAACCCAAATGGAGAAGTTTTTCAAATGGAACACAGCTGGAATGATGTCTGGAAATTCTCGTTGTTTTGTCTTCTGCTCCTTCACATGTAAGTTCCAGCTCAGTTTCAAGCAGAAAAACACGTTGGAAAATCGTGCCGTAAAAACGATGAAGTAGAGGATGTGGGTTTTGAAAGATATTCCTCCGGTCCCATTGTCGCGGAGGATGACTGCAAGGCAAAGCACCAACCTTGCAAATGCAAGTTCATGCTCGCAAGAGATGTGTTTAAATCATTTCTACAAATTCCAAATAAAATTGCACTCAAATAAAGTTTCTAAGCTAGGCGACGCGAGCACGTGGACGATGTCTCCGCAATACCTCATTAACTCACCAGTGAATCATCCATTCTGTGAGAAGATTTGTTGTTTCCACTATTGAATGGATGATTCCCTTTAAATCAATAAACACCATTAAAATTAAAACACCATGGTGTATTCACTTAAAAATTGTTGTATCAATCATCCATTGAAACTCCAACTGTGACCGAGCTAAGTTGCTTGAAGACGTCGAAGGTGTAATGCCTAACCGATAAATGGCGCTGCGTGCAGATCGGCTCGAAATAGCCCTGTTCCTTTGCTGCACTGACTGCCTGGTAGCCCAGCTGCAAGAAATGAGGGGTACTCTAAAATGGATGATTTACAATGGAAAATCCCAAAGAATGGTTGATTTTGGGGATCTCCCAATCTAGGAAACCCCCAACTATTCAACTGAAATTGTCTCATCGGTTCCAGTTTGATGCAAAAACATGCAAACAACACGAAACTGAAATACTTGAATCGAGCCTTGCGCAGTTTGTGTTGCAAATTGGATTTGGCATCTTTGGCAACACGATCCATGCAATCTGGCCGCACATACGGATGCGCAGGTAGAGGGTTTAATCATAAATGACCTGGTTTTCCAGTCCGGTGTCATGCAAAAGTGAATCGAGATTGGAGAAACAAACTGAAAGCCCTGCGATTGCAACTGTGGTTTAAGTCGGTTTGAGAATGCCAAGAGTGGTTCTCTCTTGTGTATTGGGTTGGATGTCAAGGTGCATGAAGATCCAACTTGAGCAGCAAACTGCAGGGAGTTGGCATCATTTTCTCACAATTTATGTTCCGCCCTGCCCCCCCCATGTAATCCCATGTCACTCTGAGACAAGGTCAAGAAACTCAGCTGCCTTGACAACATTTTTTTTCCAGGCTAATTCAGTGACTGCTCTGCAGGTTGAATTTGTTGAATGAAGGATTGTGCATCTCTCCATCCAGGCGCGAATTATCATCATTCATCCCCACCAACTCCAGCCTAAGCACCAGCTGTGCGCAACTAACTACTGCAGTCTTGCTGCCTTCGACTAGCTGACTAGCTCTATATGCTAGTTGCATTGGCAATAAATGTATCTAGCTGCAGCATATTCCGGTATCATAAGTGTCTCGCCAAAGGCGCCGGACTGCGTACCACCTGCGCAAGCGCTTGAGAATTTCTTGACACCTGGGATGCTCTGAAAACTTCAGGATCTAAAGAGAGTGGGCGAAGAAAACCTTGCGACAAATAACTCAAATAACTGCACCTTCCGGTGAGCCGGCTGTGCCACCATCCGACCTGGCAAGGCTTGTTCCCGAAATCATGCTGAGAACTCCACTCCCTCCAAAACCGGGCAGTTTGGCGGGCTGCTGGCACCAAGCATATCCTCAAGCGTCCAATTCACTTCACTCTGTTTGACTCTGTTTGCGAGACGTGATCCGGAGAGAGGTCTGCAGAGTTGGTTTCGACCAGCGAAACCCGAAACCCGAAACCCGAAACCGACTGTTAAAGTTGGTTTCGAACTGCGAAACCCGAAACCCGAAACCCGAAACCGACTCTGAAGACTTAACTTCCCCAGGACCGACCGAAACCCGAAACCCGAAACCCGAAACCCGAAACCGACTCTGAAGACTTACCTTCCCCAGGACCGATCGAAACCCGAAACCCGAAACCCGAAACCGACTCTGAAGACTTAACTTCCCCAGGGCCGATCGAAACCCGAAACCCGAAACCCGAAACCCGAAACCCGAAACCGACTGTTAAAGTTGGTTTCGAACTGCGAAACCCGAAACCCGAAACCGACTGTTAAAGTTGGTTTCGAACTGCGAAACCCGAAACCCGAAACCGACTGTTAAAGTTGGTTTCGAACTGCGAAACCCGAAACCCGAAACCCGAAACCCGAAACCGACTCTGGACATTTAACTTCCCCAGGACCGATCTTATCTAATCTAGATCTAACCTAACCTAATCTAATCTAATCTAATCTAATCGAATCTAATCTGTCTATCTAATCTGTCTATCTAATCTATCTAACCTAATCTAATCTAATCTAATCTAATCTATATAATCTAATCTAACCCATTCTATCTAATCTAATCTATCTAATCTAATCCAATCTACCTAATCTAATCTAATCTAATTTAATCTAATCTAATCTACTTAATCTAATCTAGTCTAATCTATCTATCTAACTAATCTAATTCTAACCTAATTCTAATCTAAGTTAATCTACCTAATCTAATCTATCTAATTCAAATCTAATCTCATCTATATAGCCTAACCTAATCTCATCTACCTAACCTGCTCTAAATCTAATCTAGTTTAATCTATCTAATCTAATCTAATCTAATCTACCTAATCTAATCTAATCTAATCTACCTAATCTAATCTAATCTAATCTGATCCAATCTACCTAATCTAATCTAATCTTATCTTATCTACCTAATCTAATCCAATTCTAATCTAATCTACCTAATCTAATCTATTTCTAATCTAATCTATCTAATCTATCTAATCTAATCCAATTAATCTAGTCTAATCTAATCTAATCTACCTAATCTAATCCAAGTCTAATCTAATCTCATCTACCTAATCTAATCTATTTCTAATTCTAATTATTAATCTAATCTACCTAATCTAATCTAATTCTCATCTAGTTTAACCTATCTAATTCTAATCTTATCTTATCTTATCTACCAAATCAAATCAGATACTAACCTAACCAAAACTAATCTAATCTAATTTAATCTAATCTAATCTAATCTAATCTATCTAATCTAATCTAACCTAATCTATTCTATCTAATCTAATCTGGTCTATCTAATCTAATCCAATCTGCCTAATCTAATCTAATTTAATCTAATCTAATCTAATCTAATCTATATAATCTAATCTAACCCATTCTATCTAATCTAATCTATCTAATCTAATCCAATCTACCTAATCTAATCTAATCTAATTTAATCTAATCTAATCTAATTCAAATCTAATCTCATCTATATAGCCTAACCTAATCTCATCTACCTAACCTGCTCTAAATCTAATCTAGTTTAATCTATCTAATCTAATCTAATCTAATCTACCTAATCTAATCTAATCTAATCTAATCTACCTAATCTAATCTGATCTTCTCTACCTAATCTAATCTAATCTAATCTAATTAATCTAGTCTAATCTAATCTAATCTACCTAATCTAATCCAATTCTAATCTAATCTAATCTACCTAATCTAATCTATTTCTAATTCTAATCTAATCTAGTTTAATCTATCTAATCTAATCTAATCTACCTAATCTAATCTAATCTAATCCACTCAGTGACAGCTACTTACGGATGCTGGCAGGTTTCCCCCAAACCGTTGCCGTTTTTCCTCTCTGACCTTTTCAGGCGCTTGTCACTCACCGCTCTTGTTTTTGACGACTGCATGGAGAACGACACTTGGGTGATGTGAGATCGGCATCGTACTGGTGAATCTAAAGGTGGTTTCGACCTACGAAACCCGAAACCCGAAACGGACAGCTAAAGTTAGCTTCAATCGACGAAACCCGAAACCCGAAACCCCAACCCCGAAATCCGAAACCGACAGCGAAAGTTGGTTTCAGGCGACGAAACCCGAAACCCGAAACCCGAAACCCGAAACCGCAGCGAAAGTTGGGTTCAAGCGACGAAACCCGAAACCCGAAACCCGAAACCCGAAACCGACAGCGAAAGTTGGTTTCAAGCGACGAAACCCGAAACCCGAAACCCGAAACCGACAGCGAAAGTGGGTTTCAATGGACGAAACCCGAAACCCGAAATCCGAAACCGACAGCGAAAGTGGGTTTCTATCGACGAAACCCGAAACCCAAAACCGACAGCGAAAGTTGGTTTCAATCGACGAAACCCGAAACCCGAAACCCGAAACCCGAAACCCGGAACCGACTCGAATCCGACTTTTGGGTGGCTCTCCGGATCGGAACTCCTGTTTGCTGCGTGATCCCTAGTTCTATCTCCAAAAGAAATCCAAAGAACCGTCTTTGCTCCAAGCGGCTGGAATTTCGGCTTTCAATGCTTTCACGCTTGGCCTCCAAACAGCTTTTGATCAAACGCAATCAATCGCGTGTTGGGCCAAGCATCAGGGTGCCCTGTAATCCATTTCAGCGAATTTTCATGTCCTGCATTCTTGCGACAGCCTTCGTTCACGTGGATGCATTGACGAGAGGTGCTGCAAAGATCTAACCACCTCCAGCCATGGAACATACCGGCAGAGTCAAGACATGTCAAGACAACTGAGAGATATGCCGTTGTCAAAGTCACTCAGGCTCATGCGCTTGCAAAGGTGGGACGGCGTTTAGATTTTGGGTCCAAACCTTGAAAAACGCGTGCTGAAACATGTCGATCATGTCGTCAAGTTTGGAATCAGCAAGCATTTCAAGGAAGTGGGGATGCACCACGTGACCTGCAGTGATCTGTAGTAGGTCTTGAGGCACACCGTTGCGACACGTGTGACAAACCCCCTTTGAGTGCCATTTCCAAGGCACCAACAGCCCAGGGCCTTGAATGCTGATGCTGTTGCGACTTGCAGCTGGAAAGATTTCACAAGCTTAGCCTTTGCTACACACAACACTCGCGTGCGGCTTGGAGTTCTTAGCAAGGCTCTAAGTCCCCAAAGTCTTCAGCAACTTGTTGTGGCCAAAAAGCCTCACAAACCAAGGGCAAATCAAGGAATCTGATCCGAGGCCTCTCACAAGACAGCAACAGAGTCGTTGCCACGATCTGCAACTGCAACGCATCAGAAATAGGAAGCTCACTCCACGGTCCAAGCCTGGCAAAGACCCATTGCAGAGTCAGAACTGGCAGAACTGGCAGAGTCTGCAACTCTCATGGCATCTCCATACCAGTTCTGGCACAACATAAGTTGGAGAGATTTGGAGAGTGCTGGGAGCGAGGCATTGCATGAGGCGACCATGCGCACCCTCAACATAGGGCTGCACCGCTTCCAGTAAGGGAAAGACCTGAGCAAGAGTCTCGAGTCGTGTGTTACATTCACCGACTCACACGAACTGGGGGCTGAGCCTACAATCAACAGCAACGCAGGTATATAAGTCGCGTACCATGTCACCCTGTGATGATGCCAATGCCGGTGGTCTGTTGACCAGCAGTTCGAGCCTTCTGAGAGGCAGGAGTATCCACAGCTGGCAGGGTGAGCACTGCAGCCGAATCAGCTCGAGCTATGCCTAGCTGTGCGTTTTAAGGAAGGCACATCACCACGCCAAGAGAGTAGACTTCCGACCTTGGCCGCCACAGCTTGCCAATCCAGAAAGAATCAGCAAATATAAATAAACACAACGCCAACATGGTTAGAATCAGCAAACATAGAGGGATTGACTCCTCCGTGACATTCCGAGAGTCAATGTAGGAGAGGCAGGTGTACCTAGAGCCAGTGACGGAGCAAAATGATGCAAAATGTAGCATGACCAAGGCAGGTGAAGTCAGACACAGGGCAAAAGCTGCAGATTGCGCTCGTGACTCAGCATCTTTTTTCAGCAAATGCAGCATGTGCTCTGTTCTTTGCATCCCCTTCGTCCTGCCAGTCCAAGAAAATTAACTCCCTGATGCAAAACTTAATGAATACAAGTGACATTCTCAAGATTCTCAAGCGTCTCCTGTGGGCTTCATCTGCACAAGACTCAATGGTTGCCCAAGCAACAATCTCAAATCCCACAGTTTCTGCTGCAGCAATGGTGGACGACAAATTGTCGAAGCCTGCCACACTGTCAGTGAAATCCCATGGTCAAATAAATAAAGGAACAAGTCTGGAAAACTCCGCATATGAATCTCATGACAACCAATGCCCAGTTGCCGTTCTCGACGGCAGAATCACCATCACCAATCATCAGAGTAGCACTGCCACCTCAGTAGCTATTGGCTTGCAACCAACTAAGCTCTGATTTGTTCTGAGCACCTGACCTGTCTTCAAGCATGCATGCGCCACTCTCAACCACTGCTCCTGGCAGCGCTCATCTCAGGATTCTGTTCGGTCAACTCGGTGAACTTGCTGCCACATGCCGAACCCTGCCTGTTGTGATTGCCATTGGGCAGAAAAGTCCCGCATCGAGCAACTTGCCCATGAACGACGCGCCCCAATCTCCTGCACAAAAACACACAAAATCACAGGGAAGAAGCACGGACATGCAATGATACCAGTATACCTCTGCTAATTTCTTTCCTACCTATCCATATTCTCAAGAATCAAGACATATCATACAAACACATGCTTCTTCACAGATGTACATGCACATTTCTGGACCGCACCATATCACCATATCCATGTCCATGCCGTCCGCCGTCCTGTACTTCCAAGTGAGCACCTGGGTCAAAGCCATGAACTTCATCAGAGGTGGCACTGCCAAAGTCTCGCAAAGCTGCAGCCTTCCACAGGGCATCTTTAGGAATAGTCAAGAGTGGTAAAGAAATGCCCGGTTTTTCTCGATTACGGTGCCTCAGTGCAAGATCCGGAAACACCGCCAAACATCAAACAAATTGGCCTCGATCGCACTCAGCTGCGCATTTGAGTTCTGAGTCAAGTAGTTGTACACCTGAGGCATCAGAGTAATGTTATGAGTGTGATTTATCAGAAGGCTTGACACACAGTTGCTGCCGCTGTCCCGGGTTTGGTATTAGGGTACAAGAGTTGATGCTGGACTATGCCGACAAGAGTCTCCAGGGTAAGGCCTTGAATGAACCAAATGGCAAGAGCTGAGGGCAGCCAACAATGCCCAAGGTGCTAAATTCGATCCCATGTCTCTGTGGCTCAACAATTGCGCGTGGCCAACAGCCTCTCTGTCTCTCTCTCTCTCTCTCTCTCTTCTTCTGTCCCTCTCCCCCTTTCTCTATATAGTTGTGAACTCATCAAATGCCATGAAAAAACTTTCTCTGTCAAATCTCGGCAGTGCCTGAAAACTCGCACCATCACAAGTCAGGAGCAAGCGGCGGGGAGGTGAGGATCGCATCAACAGGAGTCGCCAAATGAAGATCGCGAACATCACAATTGTGAAAATCGGGTCTCAAAGCATCGTCCTTGGCAAAGTATCTCTCAGGCACGTCGATTAGAAAGAAAATGCAAGAGCAAGTTGCCAAAAGGATCGTGACAATTGCAGGAGAGGTGCTGAGTGCATCCTTAGTGTTGATGGACAGACTCCAGAAACCAAATCATCTAGAACTAGAACTAATTACTTTTGTGTGTCAAGTCGTATGTCAAAAATCTCGTGACTATCGACATACAGAGCCTGAATGTCCTGGAAGCACAGTGAGCGCCACCTTTAGTGCAGCCAGGACTCTGTCTAAGATCTTCTACCCTGGACGAATACCTTTGAACCGCAGAAACGAAGTATGCCCGAGCAGCGCTGGCATCACCAGCACCAAAAACCTCAGAAATGCCAGCAGAAAGAGCAGGCCAGGACGGCGGGACCTTGTGACCTGAGGGCGAAACATTTACTCCTTGCAGTCCTTGCAGTCCTTGCGTGGCGATGTTCAGACCTGGCAACCCATCTTCATTCGGTGAGCTGCCCATCTTGATTCATCTTGCAGCCGCTCATAAGCTGCTGATTCCAATTCCAGCCTACCACCAGAGCGAACCAAAGCGCATTCTTCTCCGCCGATTTCGGCAAAGCATCCACAGTGTTCTGGATTTGGCGCCAGTCCTGGCACACATCTCTCCAGTATCTGCTGTACACTCGATGGCCAAGGCCCCCTTGGCATGTCCTTTGGTTTCCCATTGATCGGCATTGCCACTTCAAGGGCCAGAGCCTTGGCTGAAATCCATTGCCAGGTCCGACAGGTCCCTGGCGGAGTTGGCTGAGGTGCTGGCTTTCAGCTTCTCCAGATCCGGCCTCCCAGCATCACCTCCACTTCAGGTAGCACAACAACATACAACAACACTCTTGGCATCTCTCTACGATGCCACTGAGTCACAATGGTGGTAGGAAACAAAGATAGCCAACCTCAGGTGTCAACGTGCCCATACACCTGCTCACTGCGCACAGCTCTACTGAAGTCAAGCTGCGGAAAAGCGTCACATCCAATGGCCAGCTTCCCCTGAAAGAGTTAAAGAAAACAGAATAATAGTTTGTGCAGAAGGGATTGTGGTGCGGCCTAATGAATGACTTAACGTGATTCTGATTGAGTGCAGTTTTCAATGTGTGCTTGCTGCCGAAAAGGACTTGGTGACTGGGGGGTAATTCGAGATATTCAAGCTGGCGTGCATCCAAGTTGCCTGGGCCAATGCTTCTATCATGACAGCACCTGCTGTCAAGACGAGTGTGATGAAGAGTCGGTCCAAGCTGCTTACATTCGCTTTGCATTTTTATACACTTTGGGTTTAGCACGCCTGACCCACAGAAGGGATCCAGAACCATTCGCGCTCCAGGAACCAAATCCAACATTCGGCGCACCTGATCAGGAAATCCGACTGCGGGAGCCAGCAAGGATGCAGAGCCCAACAGCTGCTACTCGTCAACATTGAATAAGACTGTCTAGGGCGTCCGCAGTCAAGGGTTGCATCCCAGATAAGTACCTATTGAGGAAAATGAGACAAGATCGACGTGTTTTTTGCAGTTTAGTGTTCCAGCTCTTGATATGCATTGCTGGTTCGGTCTCAAGACAATCTGAACTCTCCTTAAAATCCTGAGCGGTTTGCTTGTAAGTTCCGTGGGTGAGCTGCAGCTCTCCATGTGGGACCCTGCCAGCTCAGAGAATGGAAACAGGGAAAAGTCGCTTCACCGGGCCCTTCGCCAATCAAAGCACACGCCCGTTCAAAGTGCTGCCGGACCTGGGGTAACCTTAGCAAAGCACTGCAAACACAGTCCTCTTCAAGTCAAAATGCAGGAAAACGTCACAACTGGGTCAAGCCCCGCATTTTTGAGTTTGTTGTGCTGCCTAGCGTTTGTTACTTGCATTGTCCACGTCTTGAAACAATATGTTCCATCCAGGCAACCATAAAGCCACTGCAACTCTAGTGCAGCCTCCAAAGTCTCCACAAGCTCAGGCTGCCCAAAAGAGCGGAACCGGTACAAAGCCTTGACAAAGGGAAGGAGAAGAATTTTTCTTAAAGCTATTTAAAGCTCATCATTTCATTCAGATCATAGATTCGCATCATCTGACATACCTTAAATAGCAAGCAGAAAGGACAAATGAGTATGTCAAGCAAGTACCATGCCTTTCTCAGGGGGCTTCCAGTCCTGTTAAACAGATCGCAACTTTAAACTTTGAGTTGGAACAGGCTTGCAACGGTTTGGGATGTCTTGAGATGTCTTGTTGAACTGTCCTCGGCCCTGCAGTTTGTTTTGGCTGAAAGGCTGCCAGGTCCTGGCGAAACAGAGCATGGATTGAGGCACAGCTGTGTCAACTGAGACCCTGCCTCAGACTGGAAACCAGCCTGTCCAAAGCCGTCACTGCTATGTGGAATCAGGTGCATGCTCAAGCTGCAAACAGCAAACAAGATTGCTTGCCCAACCAAATTCATGGGCATTGCCTCAAACATCTTCTCCACCCAGCTTTCCACCTTCTCACTCTCGCCCATGCGCGCACATGCTTTCAGCACACCTTGGCCGAGCAGCTACCAGCACACACTTGAAAAGCAAGGTCACGGTAGTGCAAGACTACAAAATGGAAGAAATAAAAGAAAATAAGTCGCTTTGTTGAAGCACGCTGGTGATTTGAGATTGAAATTGGAGATCTCTCTTCAAAAAGACATTATATAATATATAAGGACCCATATTGAGATTAAGGAAATGGATGTTTGACCCAGCTGTTGGGAAACCGGGCTACGAAAGGAACTTGCCAGGCACAGCCAAGGAGCTGCTATAGGAGACTTGGTTTGGCTCAAGGCTGCGCAACAGAATCTGCTCCAGCCAGTACTCTGCCCGGTCCACCGCACCATTTTCAGCACAAACGTTGATGAGACCTGGGATGCATCTGATGCCTGGTCTCAGCGATGGACTGGCATCGCTTTGAGCAATCCATGCCAATGCCGACAAGACTCTGTTGTATGTGTAGATGTCATCCTGATATCACTACATGGCAAATGATGCAATGCAAGGAAGAAAAGGATCAAAAGAAAACGATGTTTCGTGCTGCAGAAGCACCGCAGCATATGCCTACTTGGGCCAAGCATCCAATCGCAAAGCAAGCATCTCATCCAAAAATGTTTCTGCTCCTGGTGATCGCTTGAAGTGCAAGAATTGGGATGTGTGATGTGTATCTTTTTGCAACCAAAGAGCTGCTCACTTGCCCATTCATGGCGCACGCATTCAGGACCCCGTTGTAGCTGACTGCATCTGGTTCAAGGTGCATAGACTGCCTCATTGACATACAATACATTACATACTCAATATTTCACTGCTCAGTGCACAAATGGACAGCATCTGCTCCTATGAGTTACCACTCATCAAAAGAAATCTTGCCACCTGGGTACGCTTTTGCAAGCCACTGCTCGGCTCTTCCCATCTCTCCCGCTTGTGCACAAGCGTTGATCACACCTGGCTTCAGGCATCTTTAAACTCAGCTCGAGCACTACTCAGCCACTACTCCCGTTCACAAACTATTTATCAGTCCATCCACACTGTTGTGAAAGTCAAGGCGCTATTCATCACGATCATGCCAGCTTTCGCGCTGAAGTTCGACATGACATCCACCCATTGCTCTGCACCTTGTCAAACAGTGCCAGGACTCGTGGCAAAAGGTGTCAGCGTGGGTCTACGTCGGTAAGTGCTGGACGGGCATAGTCTCCCAACTTGGCACTTGCATTCACCAAAGTGCCTCAGAGTATGGAGGGAGGTATATTGCTTCTTGCTCGTCTGTTCCCTGATGTTCCCTGTCCTCTCTGCTCTCCTTCAATCAAACCCATCTCTCAATTCATTGCTGTTGCCATAGTCAAGACACTAAATGTGACAGCATCCGGAGTGCTTCCAGACTGTACCAAGGCATCAAACCACTTACTGGCTTTGCTCGCCTGCTGAGGGACAGTGTGCAAAACAAGTCCAAAAACGAAGTATGGCCCATGGGAAGCCAAATGAAGATCCTGCTGCTGCCATGTAACCCTGCCTCCGAAGCGCGTGCACACCTCACCAAAAAAGACGTCAAAGTGTGCCTCTTGTCAATTGTTATATCATATCGCATCTTTCAAAACTGTCAGAGCCATCGAGAACATCCTTCGGATATCTTCAGATGTGCATTCAAGCATCACTCTAAACATGAATCGGTCCAAGGCACGCATTGATCAAACTGTTGAAGATGGTAGTGTTTGCCTCCAATCCGGAATTTAGCCTCAAAGCGCGAAAAACACTCAGTTCACACTAGTTCACACTAGTTATACAGCAATGGTGTGACCTACTCGGCTGTCCTATGCAGCTTGGCCGCAGCTGCTGCATCCAAAACCCTGCTCCAGTTGCATCAGCCGCATTTGCACATGCCTTCATCACAGCACCGTAGCATTGCACGTCAGGCTGCACCGCCAACCTGAGCCGATTGGATCCGCATATGGCTCTGTCGGAAAATGTGTCACCCGGTAACTAGTAAATAGCAGCAATTTTCATGAGGAAAATGACGATTAAACCATGAAAAGATGTGGCGTTCAAACAAACCCAATTGGTTTCCATTCTGCAGACAGGAAACTGTGGGCATTCTTGAAGCCACCGCTCTGCTCCTTCCTTTTCACCACCCTCTGCATAGCAATTTAACAAACCTCAGGTGTCTACTTGGCATCAACCTCCTTAGCATCACCTTGCATTGCAGGCGCTGGTGGTCGTCGTCGTCGTCGTCATCATCATCATCATCCATCTAGATGCAGCTATGTAACTGCACATCACCACCGCATTGGGGCGAAGTCCTTGTGATAACATCCTGCGGAACCACTTTTCCGCCTTCTCGACAGAAGCGCTTGCAGAGCATGCTTGAAGGATTGAGCCATAGCTCATTTCATCGGTGTAGCCGTCCTTACGAAGGAAGTCTTCCCAGAATTTCCGGCGCAATCCAATCTGAGTATATCTGAGTGAGATCACGGGAAATGGATGGAAATAGTGTGACATGATTAGTGTGGCAGCCTGCATTGAGACCTAGGGAAATCTATAGCGAATAGGTTTCGTTCAACTTAGATTGAAACCGACTTGCCCTGTTATAACTGCCATGCGTCTGCTTCCATCTTCTGCATCCAATGCTCCTTAGAAGCTGTCGGAGTCGAGCTAGCGGAGTGTGTGGGGAAATGGCTTAATGATCAGCAAATAAACTCAGGTGCTGTCCCCAACAGCTTGAAAGCTTCCGCGTTTTTGCCATAAAAAGTGCTTACGCCATAAAAATGAAGCGCTTATGCTATAAAATTGAATGCTTATGTAACTTACACCATTAAAAACATCGGAACCCTTTGGAATTTCACAAAGCATCTGCACCAAAACCCTCCGGAACCTCAATGTTTCTGCACCGGAACGGAACCTCACCAAGCATCTTCTCCGCCAAAACCTTCCGGAACGTCACAAGGTCTCTTTCCCCGGAACCCTCCGGAACCTCACCACGCATCTTCACCTAGACCCTCCGGAACCTCATCAGGTAGCTGCACCCACTGGAAACTTCCGGAACCTCACCAGGTACCTGCACCAAAACCCTCTAGAACCTAACCAAGTATCTGCACCGTAACATCCCCGACCCCAACTGGTTCAGGAGTAGGGGGGGTGGATCCTACATTTCTGATAATGTATGAACATAAGGGGGGGGTTAACCCCCTCACTTTTTGCCAAAAATGTATGGGAACTAGGGGGGGTAACCCCTCAAAATGAGGCATGTATGAGTGCCAGATGCTGGAAATGTATTATTGGTAGGGGTATTGAACCTGAAAATGTATGCTTTGTGGGGGGCACCACTGACAAGAGCCAATGGATACATAAACTTTTCTAAATGTATGCAAGCATGGGGGGGTCTGCACCTCAATCCAATTGATCTTTTTTCCCTGGGAAACCTACTGAAACCCATGGGCCATAAAATGGCTGAAATATCCCCCTTTGAATTAAGTGAGAGTGTCGGTGTTGACAATTTTATAATGATAATCCGGGAGGCCCTGACCCTCTGTCTGAAAATGCATCTATAGAATCAGAGACCCCAAGGTATTATCAAGTTGACAATCTCTATAGAATCGATGCCGCCAAGTCACTCTCGTAGATGGTTGGGGGGGTTAGTTGGCCTTCTATAAAATCAGGTTCCCCAAGTCTCCTTCATTGACAGCTGACCTGAATGCTCCAGTTACTCTTGCCTAGCTTGCCTTATGCACTCCCAAATTTATAGAGTTCAAAGGCTGTATTCAACATGAAATCTCTATAGAATTAGAGGCCCCAAGGTCCTCTATAAAATTGAAACCGTTGACACTAAGCGTTGACACTGGGTAGGTACCCCTTATTAAGTCAGGGGGTTAAAATGCACCATTTTCCAGGAAGTAACGTTCCCGATTCTGTAGAGGAAATTCCAAGGGGGATGCTGAAATATACTTGATCTTAAATATTCTGAAATGTATGCATTGCAGGGGGTACCAATGACTACCTTAGCCAGATCTATTCCCTCCATTTTCCAAAAATGATGTGCTTTTCGGCTACCCAACCCCCTTAAAATACATTTTTCAAAGAAGGGTATTCCCAGAAAAAAATTAAGCATTCCCAGGGATCCTGGAAAAACCAAACCCGTAAAATGTATTAAACCACCCCCCCAAAATAAAAGATCCTGGGGGGGGTTGGATATCCCGACCCATGGATCCTACATTTAACGTACACCCACCGGTCAAATAATGTATTTAGGGGGGGTCCTGGGGAATCAAATTCTTGGAGAACGGTAAATGTATTTTTTTCCCCAACCTCTCCCCCCCCTAAAATACATTTTTAGGGGTGGGTGATACCGTAACCCTCCGGAACCTCACCGAGGACCTGCACCGGAACTTCCGGAACCTCACAAGGTATCTGCACCGGAACCCTCCGGAACCTCACAAGGTATCTGCACCAGAACCCTCCAGAACCGCACATAACCCTCCGGAGCCTCAGCAGGTATCTTCACCGGAACCCTCCGGAACCTCACGAGGTATCTGCACCGGAACCCTTCGGAACATCACGGGGTATCTGCGCCAGAACCCTCCGGAACCTTGTCAAGAACCTGGTGTTGAAGCTGCACCGGATCGCACCGGAGCTAATCTGGGCTAAAGACTCCATAGCAAAGTTTTGCTGCTGGCAGCAGAGAGGAGGGAAAAAAAAAGAGCCCACCAAAAAGAGCAACAAACACCGAGGCCGACATGGCACATCGATCTTCAAATCGCGATAAAATACAACGCCCCTTCCAATCTGAGAGTTAGGAATGAATCTTGTGCGATTGGGATAGGCAGCGGAAGCCAATCTACAAAACCAGTCTGAACCCCAACCGAGTGGCCGCCAATGCCAGGTCGCCCTTTGTTGCCGCTCCCTTAACCAAACTTGTGTAGCAGTGCTTGCTCGGCTGCAGCATCGCTTCTGCCATTCGCTCGAGCCACGTTTTGGCTTTGTCCATTTTTCCAGCGCGTGCACATGCATCTAGCATGCTTCCGAAGGTGACTTCGCTTGGCTGTAGTGAACCTCGGGCTGGAAACTCCCGTCAACTTATTCGAGTCACTTCCAGCACACTCTGCCATAACATGCCATAACCAATTAAGTTGAACAAGCTTCTGAAAGTGACAGCCTAAGGCCTAAGCATTGCAACGATTCGTCTGAAACAACGGCAAATTTGGCTCAGGGGCGTTGACTCAACTCTTTGATCCAGTATTCCGCAGCCTCAACTCCAACGTCTCTGTTTGCCTTTAGCATGCCTGGAGCAGGAAGACAAGCGAAAAGAAAGGACGGGTGAAAAAGAAAGCATTGCCGTAGCAAATCATATAAGTCATGGACTGAACTGAACTGAATAGGATCCCAAGGCACTGTTGAAGCTGATAATATCTGGTTGCAGCGAGGCTTTCATCATTGTGTCCTCTGAGCCGGACAGAAGGAAGTATGGTCCAACAACCAAGGCACACAGCCTGACCTGCCCTGACATCGACCCTGAAGGTATTTATGCTGGGTGAGGCTCAAAGCATGTAGCTGCTGTCTTTGCATCTCCCCTTTGAGCACACGCATTCATTGCCTCGAAATGCTGAAGCTGATGTCATGTGGTTGCATGGTCGGATGGGCTCAGTCGCAGCTGGAAGAAAGACGGAGTGCCGCCAAAGCACGATGTTGAAGCTGACAGTATCCACAGCAGCCATTGCCTGGCGCTCTCCAAAATGAAAGATATGAAAGCAACAATGGTTGTGCTTGAGAATTGAATGGGGGCCACGGCTCACTCGCAACTCACATGACTCACGGCCTCATGCATTTCTCGCAACACCACGTCAGCTTTATTCTGATCCTGCTGTTTCGCACAAGCTGTCAGCACAGCATTGAGCATCATGTGGTTGATCCTCAGTGGTGCGTTTGCAAGCCCACATTTCTCTCCCCAGAATTCTGGTCAAGTTCCCAATGGCAGAGCTTGCCCAACTGAAAGCCGTGCCGTCCAACCCATGGTCACATCGCCTTTCAGTCGAAGCTTTTTCCGATGAAAACTTTGCGATACTGCATCCAGGAATCGGCTCACCAAGTTGCAGCACTTCCTTGAGCAAACTCAAACTCTCCCGAGCTTTGTACGTCCGAGCTGCTGCAACCACCGCCTTTGCTGCAGATGGGCATGTGAGCCAAAGAAACTGAAGCTGAAAACGAGGACACTCTTCTGGGACAAGCAGCCAGAGCCTTTTCAGACTGACCGCCAGTGGCCCTGAGGCAACTTCAGGCAGAAATTCACATCCAACTTGGCGCTATTTGTCCATACTCACGTCTGTCCATTGCAGTTTCTGCGCGGCCTCCGGGATGCATGGCATCTCATGCATCTCCCTGAGCTGACCAGTAGCCCGCGATCTCGAGAATGGGAAGCACTGAGGTGATAAGGAAAGATAGGAAATAGTCGAAATGGTGGATCTTCGATGATCTTCATGTGCTGTTTTGTGAATTTAAAGCCGAGGTACTCACCACTGCACTAGCTCCACTGAGCAGCGCGAAGGATAATCTTGCAGTGACCTCTGTGAGGAAGAACTTTGAGATGCTGTGAATATTAAATTGAATTCCAGGCCAAACAACTCTACTTCCCAAGTTAATTTACATTTACAAATCTGGGGCAACGCTGAATGGAACAACTACTCGCAAGACAAAGACAGAAAACCTGCCCTTGAATGATCCAAGAAATTAGGTCTCCCTGCAGCAACACTGTGCCCACACACCGAAGAGCCCTACAGATCCCTACAGTAGATTCTAGATTCTATATCTATGTAACCTTGCCAGAACTAGTTGGCTTCATAATTTTCCCTGCCAAGCCTTGCTACTGGTTGCCCCGCTGCAGTTGTTGCAGCTGTGAGTGGCACATGTGCAAATTGTGCTGGGTGACCTGAGGCAGAAAGTCGAGGTAGACGGTGAATCGCCGAACATCATCATGGCACCTATGCTTCGCTTCGACATGCAGGCAAGATACAATGCAAGGTTCCGCGATGGGCGGCCATCACCAATAACAAACCAAGGTGTTTTGAGCATTGCAGAAAGCCAGCAGTTGCCGCAGTTGCCACTCTGCAGGAAGCTCACCCATGGCGGCTCATGCCCACGATAACCGGACGCTTTGCACTTGAGCAACGTGCTGCCGTGCTTCATGCGACACTGAGGCTTTAAGACAACTTGGAATGCTGTGCCTGTCCGAGTCTTCCTGGGATTCCTATGCTTTGCTCGTGCACATGACCCACAGAAGTCGCACCCTGGTGTTCCGGCAATTTCATTCACTGCCAGCTTGTCCTGATATGAAGGGATAAAGAGGCTCAACAAACTTTTTGATCCTCTTGAGATCACAGGTTGATGTCAAATCCTGCTGGTGCAGTTGTTCAAATCTTATTGTGCCTCTGCGCTGTTGTCCTTCACAGCTGCTGCAAGGCCTTTGTTTTCAACCCCGAACCATGAAATAAATGGCACCAAAGCACAAAACGTCCACGAACCCAACTTTTCCAACTGAGCAGCAGGCCAAAATCCGCCATTTTTGGAGTGCCATCCGCATCAAGCAGAATGTTGGCAGGCCTAGAGTTCAGCATACCCAAGTGGAATAGGATTTGATGTAACATGTTTTAATAATGTATAGATATATATATTATATATATATATATAATTATTATAAATTAAAGGTCAAAGAGCAGCAACGGGCAGCAACGAGTCCCCAATTTGGGCAGTCCCACTTTATATCTCGATGGAAGGTCTTCGGAGTGCTGCCCACCATATGAGCCAAACCTTTGGCAGCACCTGGGAGCGAGTCTGAACATGTCACCTCCTCAAGTGACCACCCTTTGCAGCTGGCGTTCTGGCCCAAAGCCACATGCAAGCGCTGCTGCCAAGGAAAAGGTGCCTCGCACAAGAGTTGGTCGCTTAAAATCGGTCCGATGTAAAATACTTCAAAGCTCTTTACAGTACTATCATCTGACACATTCTGAAACTGTGGTGCCTCAGAGCCGTCCAGCAATCCTTGAGGCACTCCACTCTGCCTTGGAAAGCTGACCCGACATGACACGACCGCAAAACGCCCAAAGACTCAAAAACTGCTGCAGCAAGTGCCAGGCATTTGCTGCTCAAGCCATGCCCTGCTTTGCCTCAGTTTGGCCTCCACATCTCCTGCATGAAAGATGCAGAAATTTCCCGAAAAATGCGGCAAGTCTCAAGCGTACATTTAGCGATGAGCCTCCAGGCATCAACTCATAGACCAAGTACCTCCATGCAATGCAATTCCGAGAGAGAGAGAGAGAGATATATATATATAATCCTGAGGTCCTAAGCAGTTTTGGTTCAGGCACTCTGAAGGCGCACTTCTCCCCTTCTCTCTGACCGAAGCCTGAGCTGGGGGCCAAATGATCACCAACTTCAGAAAATGCTCAAAATTTGGGGGCCTGTTTGTTCACTCAAAATCCATGCCGGCCCAAGGAACCCATGAGAGTTACGAGGTGAGGATGCCTGAAGCGGCTGAGAACTCGAACCTGCAAGTTTCATCTGACAGCAAATCCCGCAAATAGCACGTCAGAGTGCCATATGTCATAATGTATACAGTCAAACCCTGGAATGAATCCAGCCCTCTTTCTGAAACTATGGAGTCATGCAGCAGGAGGCGTGACTCGGGAAGTTCAACGAGGCCTTTGGCCATGCGAATCCAAACGAAGGAAGCCAACACTCCGGAGCAGCTTGATGGCACTGGGAGCGATGCGACATTGCGCAACATTGAGCCATTTTTGCTCTGCACCCAGCGCCACTCCATTTCGGAAGGAGTTTGCAAGACCCAAAGCACCCATTGTGGAAACATTGGTGTTAAATAGGGAAACTCGACTCCATAAAGAATTCCGCGCAAGGGCTGCAGCTGTTTTGCAACCAACTTGCTGGTAATCCAACTCAAGTTCAAAGCCGTCTTTGCATGAAACTGAGCGTGCAAGCACTTCACCTCCTATGTCACTGATGCGCGTTGGTTCAAAGAGGTAGCCTCGGAGATACAGCTGCTGGAGGCGAGGTGTTTTCTGCACAAACTGTGCGAGGAAGTCACAGGCCGCATCAGTGATGGAGTTTTCGCTGATATCAATGCCTTTCAGAAACGGATGCCCCTGTAGTGTCTTTGATGCAAGCTCTGCACCATGGTCCGTCAACATTTTCACCCAAACCGAGCCAGTTCAGTGGACAAGCCGATAAAGCTTTGCAAATGCAAAGAACACCCTCATCTTTTAGCGGATTTGAGCGAAGGTCTAGACTGCCAAGCAGATTGGGCCGCGCAAGGGCTCTGGCCAGCAGCATTGCTCCCTCGGGCCCGATGCCATTCCAATCCAAGCACAAGGAGCGAAGCGTAGAGGGCCAAGAATGCTCCAAGGTGCCCAAAGCTGAAACACAAAGGTGGTTCCAGGCAAAGTCCAACGATGACAAAGAGCTCCACCAGACTTGTTTCTTTGCTGCTGCAATGAGGAAAGCTGCTCCACTGTCCCCAAGCCCCATGCTGTCTCCATACTTATTGCGTTTCTCTATTGCTGCCTCACTCCCTCGAGCGCTGCAGCGGAACCGTAACAGTTGCACTCGCGTTGGCGCTGCAAGTGCTACTTCCAGTTGTGATCGAGCTGCCTCTACCACCTGACATGCACGGAACACGGCACGGTCATCTTCAAAATGATTCATGATGAATTTTGCAATGCAGATTTGACCCTGGCCTCGTCAGTCGCACCGTATACCGAAAGGCTGTGGACCTTATCCCATCTTAGTCCCACAAGGAGAAATCCACAGCACAAGAGGAGCCTTGGAGACCCAAGAGTTGGACGTGATTTGGTGACACGCCCGACCACGGCACCTACCAGTCATACTTCGGCGAATCCAAAACCGATCAAAACCGTATGCCCCAGCCATCCCAGCCTCGCAAAAACATTGGGCATGCAGAGCCAGGTGGGGCCAAATTCGCCGTCCTTCACGCGTGTGCAGTGCCAATGTCACTTTGCAACAGACCTCGGCAGAAGAGGCCAAGGAGGGGTGCAGCACAGCTGCAGCACAGCTACAGCATCGAGGACAGCACACTTCGAAACCACAGCGTGCTGGATGGTGGGAGCCACTCAAGAATCAGCTGGCCAACCTGCACCAGAAGGCGATACCCACATTTCACCAGCATTGGAAACAGCAAGGGTATGCCTGAGAGAGTGCCAGAGTGGAAGACGGCTCGGGATCCTGTGCCAAAGATTGCTGAGTCATATCTGATCAGCTTTGGCTGATGAGCATGTCCAGTTCATCTTGCAAACTTGACATGGTTTACCATCTGAGGCTCAAACCTCGCCCCTGCAAAGACCTTGTCCAGTCTTGACTGGCTATTTTGACCACAGTGCCACCTCTTAAACATAGACTGACAAGTTGAAAGGGAAGTGATTTGGTTTGGCTCATCCTGACATGCAGCGGAACATTGCAGAGCACTCTATGGCACGCAGGCAATGGAAGACATCGCTGACAACGAGAACAGTCTAAGTCTAAGCGCAGGGCTTTGCAGTAGAGCTTTAGACAATGGCTGCATCGCACTTGCAGAACCTGCAGTGTGCTGAAACTAGGATCTTCGTGCAGCATCTTCCCTGCTCCAGATTCCTGAATTATGTACATTTGTGCGCAAGGACCTCCCAAGGAAACAAGAGGTTGAAGCAAGCCCAGAGTTGCCTCCAACTTTTTCTGTGCACTTGGTGACCTTAGCTTGCCAAAGAAGCGATTTTGGGTTTGCCTGCAGATTCATGGGCACGCTGCTCAGAACCATTCGACCCAGACTCAAGCTTTTGCCCAAGCACTTGCCCATCGACTATGAAGTTTCATAAAAAGCTTTTACTACTGACCAAAGAGCAAGAACTAGTCAAGCTGGAGCGGCCATTAGGAGGGCTTCCGGCCAAAATCCAAGAACTGCCAGCTGCTCTGGAAAGCATGTCTTGGATCCAAGCAGGCACCAGCTCCGGTGTATGCTCCTTGGGCTTCTCAACTCTCTCTGATGGCCTCCATGCGGAAAATATGGCGCTTCGAAAAAAATCGTCGTCGAAGCAGACCGAAAATGACAGACAGACTGCCGAGCGAAAGTCATTGCCTGGTTTCAGAGCGAAAGTCCAGAGCTTCTCTGATACGGGTCACACCATGGGCAAACTCTTTTGCCTCCTGCGGAATAGGCACCACTGACAAAGGCGTTGAAATTGTCGTTGTTGAGTTCTGCTTTCTTCTGGTGTAGCTTGAATATACCATACAAACAAAGCACTAACGTAGAGCAAGACGCCGCCACACTAAAGTGTCAGTGTCCCAATTCCGAAAGTCACAGGCCTCCTGCAAGAGTCAGTGCTTCAGTTTCACGCTGGAAAGTGTCAAGAATCCCTGCGCCTCTTGCAGCGAGTCTTGCAGCTGTTGCACTTCCCCCTGCAGCTCATGCAGACCTTGAAAGACCAGAAAGGTAAAACGCTTGCTGGTTCACCTGGTCACTGGTAAG